TCAGTCTTTTCTGAACTGGCAATTGCCTTGGTATTTCCCCAAGATCAAATATGCAATTTATAACAAGATGTTTATCTGGAAGAAATGAAAAACACTCTGAAACAAGGCCTGAAGGAACAAGGAAAGTTCTTGGTATGATACAACTGAAAAGACATGGAGTGTTCTTAGGACAGAAATCATCCTCTCCAACTCAGTTCCAAAAATCATGCTGTTTCCCCATTGCAGTTGGGAAATCATATATCAGCCAGGATTCTCTGCCTACTAATACAGGCTTTTAATATTTTTGGACAGCCTGGGGTCCCCTCTTTTTCCTTCCAAAGCAGACCTAGGACATCAGACTTTTCCTTCTTCCCTATTGTACTAAGATTCAGCTTTAGCTCTTTAGTTCTGGATGACCTTTCCCCAACTCCAAGGCCTGGTCCTCTTCCATTGACTTCTATTTTGCAAGTCCAAAGTTCAATAGTTTCAGCCTTTATCTTGGGCTGTGATTCTGGGCTTTCCAACAGGCTGCTCTTTTCTAGTCCCAGACCAGAGATCTCATTAACACTTCAATACTAGTATGTAGGAGGCAGGGAATACTGCATTCACTGGAGAAATTGAGGGTCACCCAGAAGCAGGCATGTGTTGGAGCCTGCTCTTGAAAGAACCGATTATTAAATTATCAGTGTGAGCATTTACACCTTAGGAAATCAACAAACTCTACGAATCAAGGCTTGATTTATTGTTTTGTTGATTGTTTAAACTTTAAAAAGTGATGAAGAAAATGTTAATAGTGCAGATTAAACTTTAAAGTGTGTGGTGGGAACACCCCCACCCCTGCTGAGCTTGTTGTTAAACATTTACTAGAATGCCCCTGCCTAAATGTTACAGAAAGGCACATGGTGGGTGTGAACAGATTACAAACCCTTTCAAATGAGGAATCATAAAAGATGACATCAGAGAAATATATATGTGGGGAAAAAAAGACTGGTGAAAGAGAAAAAGAAAAAAAGGACAATTCTGTGCTCCATTACTTTTCATGAAATGTCGAGAGAGCCTGAGAAAGGCCCTCAGTATATTGGGTGGACCCTCTGTTGTGAATTTATGAGAGGCCATGGACAAGAATCTCAAAGTATGGTCATGGGTTGAAATCTGAACATAGCTGGAGAGTCTCTTCACTTCAAAGGGATTGTGGATATATTAAGAGTGTTGTAATGCTGGGGTTCTGGCCATGACCATTATGTTTTCTCCAACTTCTCCACCCAGCCCCCTTACCTTCCTCTGATCTTTAGCTAACAGGCTCAAGTTTCATAGCTCTGGCCTGGGCTTAATTCTTGTTTAGTGAAATGGCCCCAATAATTTGGTGAAGTAGGAAATAATCTTGGTCTCTAAGTCATGAGACCTGACTTATCTTTGTCCCTAGCCAGTGGAGCGACCTTGGAAAAACCAAGTCATTTCTTTGGTTTTTGATTTACTTCTATAAATAGTTCTACTTTATAAAATAAGAGAGTTGGCATAGATAATAATCTCTAATATCTGTGGTGACATTTCAATACTATGATTTTAAGCCCTGATGACCTCAGCCCTGACTTTCTTTTTCAGTTTACAGTTCCACTGCCCGTATGATTTTGCCTCCTATTGTCTACTTGTTATTCTCAGTGCAAGACCAGGAATGTCCTGTGAGGAACCAAGAAATGGGTAGGATTAGCTGGAATGGGAGTTGGGAGATCTGAGCCTCATAAAATTTCTCAGTGGTCAAATGGCAGGAAAAAAAAATTGTACTTCTACTTCACAGGGTTGTCACAGGGTTGTGGTGAGGAAACACTTTAAAACCCTATGGAAATGTGAGCTGTTACTGTTGCTGTTATCAGTCATCCAAATTCTGATACTCTTAGGCAAACAGACCAGTCTAAACTGGTTCAGACCAGGCTAATTTGAACAGGTTTAAATTGGTCTGAATTGGTTTAGAGTGGTTTTAGTTGGTTTAAATTGGTCTGAATGAGTTTAAATTGGTATAAAAACCGGTCTGAACATGCTAAAAGCAGTCTAAACTAGTTCAGAACTGCCAAAACCAGTTTAAACCAGTTTAAACTGGCCAAAACTAGTTTAAATCAGCCCAAACCAATTCAGAAGAGGTTAAACTGGTTCAGACCTGTTCAAATTTGCCGAAACCAGTTTAAAAAGGTTCAGACTGGCTAAAAACCTATTTAAACCACTTCAAACTGTCCAAAACCAGTTCAGACAAACTTAAACCGGCTCAAACCGGCTCAGACCAGTTCAAATCAGTTCAGACCAGCTCAAAACAGTCTAAATAAGTTAAAACCAGTTCATACTGGGTCAAACCAGCTACAACCAGTCTAAACAGGTTCAAACCAGTTTAAACTGTTTCAGATCATTTTAAGAGGGCCAATACTGGAACTAAGGGAAGTTGTAAGAATACTACAAACTTTGGGAGCAAATTAAGGATTGAACAAATTAGATTAAAATTCTGCCCAAGAGGGAGAAGTCCTCTTAGAGTTTTCAGAGTTTTCAAGTGTCAAAGAAATTAGGCTAAAGGGAAGATTGAGTGTGTCACTGAAAAAAAGTGTGTCACTGGTTTGAATTGGTCTGCAGGCAGACAGGTAAGTTTGAAAAAACAAAAAACAAGAAAGTAAAACTCTCCCAAACAAGTAGATTTTATCTCAACTCTGATTTCTGTATGTTTTTGTCTGTGTGAGTTTTTTTTTTCTGTCTTGCGTGAGTTTACATTTTTGAAGGTAGAATCAGAGAAGTGATTTCTCTCTGAATAAAAATGCTTGTTTTACTTTGGTAGGACTTTAACTGCAGCTCCAAGCTGATAACATCTCAGACCAAGCAGCCTTTAGCAGGGCTATGACCTGCAAGCTTTGGGGGAAAGCCCATCATCTCAAGTTAGGTTAATTAATGAGCCACTTAAAGCCACTTGGATTTTGTTTAAACTAAATCTAGGGGACTGTCTTTGCAGCCCCACCCCAACATATCTGACATCAGGGCAATGTGATGTCAAGATACTATTAGGAGACACCCTGTTTTCCAGAGTTACGTCCACCAAGCAAACTGCCCTGAGCTTGGTATAACAACACTTACCTTCTGAACTCGGGCAAGAACTAACAGGCCCAGACGTGAAACCCTGCTATGAACAGACTTTTTGTCACTAGACAACCTTGCCTGACTGTTGCTGTTACACCTCACTACTGTTACTGTTTGACTCTTTGTATAGCCACAAGAATCAAGGTTTGGCCACGGTAAAGCGGGTCTCCCACTAAGGTCAGGGCCCTGGCACATGTGTCTAGATTCCTCCTTGCTTCCAAGCCATTTCTCTCACTTTGAAATTAAATTTGTGTTTGATTCCTGACTCTCCTCTCTCTAGCCCGCTCTGTTCTGCTCTGGCCCCCTACAGGTTAGAGGCCAGTTCAGTACAGCTGACAGTGTTTAAAACTGCAAAGACAAATTCTTTGTCTTTTAAGACACTTTGATCAGGGCTTTTATATCACTTTATAAGTAATGTTGGTGAAAACTGTGAGAGAAATACAGCTCTCTTGATCTGTAAATTATTAAATGTTAACTCTCTCCAGGTAAAACTTTATATGTATTTCCTAGAATATGAAGCTTGAGATTCCCAGGAGGATGGGAATCAGAGCTGGAATGCTTGGGGAAGCCCTTTAAATCTCAAAGGTAAAGGAGGAAGGAGATTCTAGCTCTGTAAGGAAGTAGAGGAAAAGGTCATACAAAGCTGGAAATTGATACAATTTGTCTTTTAGCGGAAAAAAAGAAAGTATATGAATCTGTAGATAATAATCTTTTTTCTTCTGAAGCGGTAAGAGTATTGAGCCCTAGAGATTCAAATGTTATAAATCTGGATTTGATTTGATTTATTAGCTGTATGGCCCAAGAAAGTTACCTTATATCTATTTGCCTCAGTTTACTGTTCTATAAGGGAATGATAATAGTAACATATAATATATAATAAAATAATAATAATAGCCCACCCCCCAGGGTCATTGTGAGGATCATGTTATTGTAGAGTGCTTGGCATAGGGCAAGCACTATATGAATGTTAACTGTTTTTTGTTATCTTTTTAATTAGATGTAATTGCTTCATACTTGATAACTTCATGTGGATTTTTAGATGTGATCAGTATGCGACTACAGTGGTGATAGATGAATGATTTTCTGTGTAAGAGAATTTGGAAGCGCATTTATCTGAACTGAGGCCACCTCAGGTGGTAATGGTTTTGATTGGTAATTGGTTTTGTTTCAAATTTGAAATACATAATATTTTTATGGCATTGTTACATTTCTAAATTTTATTATGTTGTGTAATCTGGTAAAATATCAGCAATGTTATTAGATTAAGAATTGTACTATAAAAAAAGGATGAATGGGTTAGGAAGCTGTTAGGTCATTCTATCAGCCCTGTTGACCATGTGTTAGTAATATTCTGAAGTACTGTTATTTAAGAGGAAGTTTCACTTAAAATTATTTGACTATCACTTATGAAAATTATGAGTTTGTTAACTAAGTTATTTAGAGTTATTATTTTAATAAGGTATTTAAATAGGCATTTTAAAAAATTTTATTAATTTATTTTGATTTATCAACAATCACTTCCATATTCTTTTGAGTTGAAAATTTTTCTCCCTCTTCCTCCTCCACCCAAGACGGTGCATAATCTGATATAGCTTTTACATTTACGTTCCTATTAAACATATTTTCACATTAGTGAAGTTGTAAGTAAAAATTAAAACCAATAGGAGGAACCATCAGAAAGATGAAACAAAACTCAACAGAAGGTAAAAATAAGTGATAGCGATTTGACTTCCATAGTTCTTTCTTTGGATGTGGACAGCATTTTCCATCCCGAGGCCTCTGGAGATGTCTTAGATCCTCGTAATGCTGAGAAGGGTTCAGTTGAACAATATTAGTCATTGCATAATGTGGCTGTTATTGTGTACAAAGTCCTCTTGGTTCTGCTCACTTCACTCAGCATCAGACCATGTAAGTCTTTCCAGGTTTTTCTGAAGTCAGCCTGTTCATCATTTCCTATAGCACAATAGTATTCCATTACATTCATATATCACAACTTGCTCAGCCATTCCCCAATTGATGGGCATCCTCTCAATTTCCAATTCTTTGCCACCCAAAAAGAGCTGCTATGTATATTTTTGTACATGTGGGTCCTTTTCCCATTTGTTTGATCTCTTTGGAATATAGCCCTAGAAGTGCTATTGCTGGATCAAAGGGTATGCACATTTTTATAGTCCTTTGGGCATAGTTCCAAATTGTTCTTCAAAATTTCACAGCTCCACCAACAATGTATTAGTGTTCCAATTTTCCCACATTTTCTCCAACATTTATCATTTTCTTGTTTTGTCATATTGGCCAATCTGATAGGTGTGATGTGGTACCTCAGAGTTGTTTTGATTTGCATTTCTCTAATCAATAATGATTTAGAGCATTAAATAGGCATTTAAAAATGAAAATTGGTAATTATACAAAGAAAAGCCCTTGTAAAATCTCCTTTGTAAACTTACAAGAATTTTTGGAACTATCTAGTCATAAATTCTTATCGACCTTATGCAAGAGTTTTCTGTGTTAAATGGGAATTCTTGCACAAAATGGGGGGGAGTATAATTTTCAAGCCAGCTTAAGCTATGTTCATATGTATGTTAATCTGGAGGTTTACAGCAATTGGACAGTGCTGTTTTTCTAGGATTTAAGTGAGCTACTACATATTCATGTGGGATAGAATAGAATTATTTTCTTGATTTCTAGTGCTGTATTTTAAAATAAAAGGCCTGATAAACTTTGTTATTGTGATAAGGCTGATTTAATTGGGTATAATTTTTTTGGCTTAGAAAAACTGAATATCCTCTCCATTGCAAACACCTTTTGACTAGAGTGGGGTGGCACTTAAGAATTTATTTTGTTATAGTACTTTGTGGATTTATGTTACTTAAAGACAATTTACACCAACTTAGTCTTGGTAAATTCCAATTTTTAAGATTTTTAAAATTTATTTTTGCTTTAAGATTGAATAACTGAGGGAGATATTTGTCATTTTAGAGGTTTCCAACTGATTTACTTCATGAAAGTTTAGTGATTATCTATTTAACATCAGGATAAATTTTAAGCTGTTTTTAAGAAAGGGAAATGCTTTGAAGAAGGAATATTTAAGTAAAAAAAAACTTTTGTAAAAAAACCCCAAAACTTTTTTGTGATTTGTAGAAGGTCTGATAAATTTTATCTGTAAGCCAATTTATTGCAGTAATTTGATGGTATTAATAAAAGTTGTGCCAAACATATTGTGATCAGTGAGACTTTATTATTTGAGGAGAAACCTTTTCTGGGAACCTGAATATTCCTTTTGGAGTTTCATTTTTAGGTTTGTTGTCTTCTTGGACCAGCCTTAAATGGGTGCTTAAAAAAAAGGCAGTGGTCACCAGCTCAATGGAAGCCATATCTGAGATCTAAGGCTAATGAATATCTGTCCCAGGGAGTAAGGTAGGGAAATTACCTTGAGATGGCTAACATGGACTCTTCTTAACTCATTTTCCCATATAAGAAATCTATCTACCTGGTTCCATATGCTAGGCTACTTATAGTGGTATAGGACTTGAGGACCACTTTTGATGCTTTTATAACCATGTCCCTGATTATAACTCCCATAGCAAATGCTATTATCAGGGTAGACAAATAGTGGAATTGTGTTATTGCAATACTGGATCTATTAGTTAATAGATTAATATTAAGGCATCTGAATTATTGTAATAATCTGCAAGTATGAAAGATCTTGATGTTTTGATCTGAATTTGTAGTCATTCCATGGCCTAAGCAAGAGCTAAAATTAGTGCTTGTACTTGTCATATGCAGTTCCTAAAGTATGTCACTCTTTCAGAATTATAGGAGTATAAATATACAAAGGAAAAGAAGTTTGTGAAACAAAGTTATGAATCTTTAAATTATGAGGTTAAAGTCATTTGTTTATGTTTTAAGGAATAGAATTTCAGTACATTCAGTTATGTTAACGAAGAGTAGTAATTTATGAGCTATCTTGTGTCACCTTAATGGGAAATCTGATTTTATTTAATCTGGGATTAGAACATGTGTAGAAATGGATACAAACTACTCAAGAGTCACCTTAAAGATGTTGAAAGGGATTGTTTAGAGAGATTCTGAGAGCAGTAGTCTATGTTTATGTCTACTTGAACATGGTTAAGAACTGAACTGTTTTACTACAGAAAATGTTTCATTTAATCTGTTCTCTGCATACAATTCAGGATTATTATATTAATATATCCCATCCCAAGTCTTCTGTTGTTTATTATTAAGCATCTTATAGCAAAATCATTTTTGTAATGTTGAACTCAGGAATGAAAAGGCATCTGCTTAGCATGAGTACTAGTTATATCAAGATAAGTTTTTTTCATGATAAATCTCTTACTGTTACCAATGTGAGATATAGTCAATACTTATTGTATATACTAGGGAATATGATCCTTGAAAACTATGATTATTGGAACTTGCTGTTAACTGATATTATTCTGAGTCTGACTCCAGGTATGGTCATCAAGGAATGCCACTGAGCCAATGAACTGATGATGCCAGCAACCCTGTGGGGTTTACATACATGAACTGCAGGTGGAGTTCTCCTGAAAAAAAGTTGAAAGAATGACTTTTGGCATGGGCTGAAGTAGGATTTTCCTGGTTCCAGTGTGACCTTTCCTCTTAAATGGAAACTATCCCAGCTGGCTAACTTTAAGTCTGGCTCAGTGCAATTGGCTTTCTATATAACTTTTGCCTGGAATTGACATGAAGTTAGGGAAGCATTATTCTCTTACTGTATAGTTATGTCCCTATTCTTTTATGGCAAATTTCTATCATCATATCAGGTGATCAGGTTAAACACAATATTAGATCTTTATCTCTTAGTTTAATGCTGAACATTTGAGTCACTATAATAAGATACAGTTATAAGATTTGAACTATTGAGTATAGAATTTTAGTCCTTTCTATATTCCAAACACCTAAAAGCATAAGTATCTAACCTTGTAATTTATTGTTACTGGTTATGTATTCCTACCTAAGTTAAAGTCCTTTAATTTTTCACAATGGCATAGCGATAATTAGGCAAATGACGCAAAGATTTGTTAAGTCAGGATATCATACTATTATTTAGTGAATATCATAACTGTCTCAGTTTTGTGTTAAGGAAGGGAGTATCAGTACAATCTTAGAAGAAGAATGGCTTATGGTCCATCTTATAAATGCCTTCTAGACATTCACTTTTTTAGGGTTTATTCATTTGAACATTGCTAGAAGGTGAAAATGTTTTTATTATAAACAACTTACTTGATCTGTACTGTTTTAAAATTGATTATATATCCCCTCCCAGAACCTTTTGCTACAACTGAAGTTAATTTAACAACTTTTAAATTTTTATATTAGAGTCTATCTTATTAAAGGTGTTCTGTTATTAATTCCTTAGTGGAATCTCATCCTCTTAATGGGAATGAATAATGCCAAATGTAAAAATTGGGTTCTAATTTTCGTATATGTACCCTATATGTATATGTGTGTGTGTGTGTGTGTGTGTGTGTGTGTGTGTGTCTCAATATGACAATTGGCCAACCTAAAATTGTAAATTCCTTGGTCTAAAAGCCTCCAAATTTGATTTTCTAATAATAGAGACACAAGGTCTGAGCTAACTTTCATTATCTGACCTGGTTATTGGCAAAGTAAATTTAAGTTTGTGTTAAGACCAATTTTATAGGAGATTTTTTAGCAGAGAAGTGAGATCACTACAAGGAACCTGAGTCTGAGAAGACAGTAAGCTGGAAACTGCTCTAAGACTGAACTTAGACCAGAGAGTTGCAACAAATGGTGTACCAAGAACCAGACAGCGGTATGAGATGAGACTTCTTAGCTTTAAATGGACAATTTTGCTTTATTGTTGTACTTCTTTATCTGTAAGTTCTACTTATCAAAGAGGACTGCCCCCTCTGATTTTGTCAAAATGTTATCAAAGGGGATTGCTCCCTCTGATTTTGTCAAAGTGCCTGTCCATCTTTCCCTTTTCCCCTCACATTGTCTCCCCTCATAAATCCCATCATTACAAATCTTTGATGAAGTGTTTGTCCCATCAGCTAGTGATTCATTGAGGGGGCCACACTTCTCAATAGAATCAAATGGGGGAATGAGAGAAATGATTATTAGTAAACAATGATTTGGGGAGATCCAGGGCTCCCTTCTTTCTCTAAAGTCCTGATTTTCGGAAGATCAGTCTCCTGAAGGACATTGGTAATATTGAAATTGGACTAGGATCCCACCTTGCCATTGTCTCTTGCTCAGGCTTGGGTGGGGCATACATTCTTTGAATAGATGATCCAAGGCTTGGGGTGGTCTGGATATTAGTTTCTCTATCCAAGGGTGACATGATGTAGCTCTCAGCCCTTCATTTTAATATATCTCACCTTTCATTGTGTTAACCAGAGTTGGTTGCTACTTCTCTTCCAAGAGAACATGTAATCCCTGAGCCCATCTTGCCATGATTGTCTTTGGTCTAAAAGAGTTAGCCAAATGATCATTCTTTTATTGATAAGGTGCTGGCCTTTTTAATAAAATGATTACATTATCTAGAAATTATGTCTCTTGAACTTTTTAATTGCTACTATATACATGCATACATACACACACACACACACACACAAGTGTATACATATTTGTGTCTAATGGTGGCCATCTCTAGGGTAGGAGGGGAGAAGAGGGAAGAAAAAAAAAAAAAATAAATTTACATGATAACTTTATTATATATTTAAAAGGAATAGCAAGTTGTACATAATAGATTTGCAATTTCATGTGCAATCATCTTTTTTTAAATTATGCTATGCTATGGAAATGCTTGTTTTATTCCATAAATTAAAAAGAAAAATTATTTTTCAAAAAACAAAACAAAAAATTTACTCAGAAAAAAAAAGAAAGAAAAGGCCTTATGCAGGAGGTTTTGAACTTAGTCTTGAGGGAGGCCAGGGAAGCCAGTAGGCAGAGATGCACAGAGAGAGCATTCCAGATAAGGGGAACAGCCTATGGAAACACATGGAGGTCAGAGGTCAACTGAAAGGTACCTGCAATGTGTGTAAGAAGGCTGGTGAGGTAGGAGAGGCAAGGTTGTGAATGGCTTTAAAATCCAGGCAGAGGATTTCATAACTGATCCTGGAGGTAAGAAGAAGCCATTGTAGTTATTTGGTTGGGGGAGTAACATGATTAAGATGTATACTTTATTTTATTTTATTCTTTTGTAAATTTTTTATTCATTTTAAACTTAAATACAAAATGAGAAAAGGAAAAAAAGAGAACTTTCTATGTATACAATAGAACATGAGAGGATTCAATATAAAACAATAAATTTCTATTTCAAGAAAACGCATATAATAAATGCCACACATTGTTTTCAAAGCTACTCAACTTTTCTTTGCTTCCTTCTAGGTTTTCTTTTGTTCTCTGCTCTGCACTTTTTCCTTTTTTCCCCCCTTCACTCCCTGCCCTAGATGTGTACTTTAAGAAAATCACTTTGATACCTGCATGGAGGATGGTTTGGAATAGACAGAGACTAGTCAGGGTGACTAACCAGCAGGCTATTTATTACAGGAGTCCAAGAAAGAATCAGGAAGCAAGTGGAGAAGTATAATAATAATAATAATAATAATAATAATAATAATGATAGCTAATATTTATATAGTACCTGGCACTGTGCTAAATGCCTTACAAATATTATCCCATTTGATTCTCACAACAACCCTGGGAGTTTAGATGCTATGATTTTCCCCATTTTACAGATGAGGAAATTGAGTCAAATAGGATTAAGTGACTTGCTCAGGGTCACACAGCTAGTAAGTGTCTGAGGCTGGATTTGAACTCTGGACTTCCTGGAGCAGTACTCTATCCATTTCCCCACCTATCTGCCTCTCGCTGTTATGTGTTGGATCCCCTAACAGAATGTAAGGTCCTTAAGGGCAGAGGCTTTTCCAATTTTATATTTATATCCCTAGAACCTAGCATAACACCTGGAACATAGTATGCTTATAATAAATGCCTGGTGATTGATTCAAAATTCATTCAACAAGCATATATTAAGCACCTGATGCTTTTCCAATGCCCTTGATGTTATTTGCAACTGTGTCCCTGAGACAGATCTCAGAGATTCAAGGAAGAAGGGAATCAGGGAAGGGTGGATGGGGGAAAATGGTAACAGGAAAATGTCTTACCACATCTTAGTCAGGACCAGCCAGTAATTAAGAAAATCCCTAGGCAGAGGGAAAGGATAATCCTAGTTGGGAAGCAAGATAGGGTGAGGCTGGAGATGATAGAGAAAAATGTAAGTCTAAAGTTTTGCCACATCATTGTCAGAGAGGCTGTATGGGTCTGTGCTCACAGGTAATATTTGGAGATGAAGGATTTGTGGGCAGCTGTCTGAGTTCAAAGGTGAGGGGATTTGGATAAGATTGGGAAGCTGAGGTGTAGGTAGCCAGAAAGTTAACAGTTTATCCAAATTCAAGCTATTTCTGGCTGATGCTAATACCTCTTCATGACTCATCAGCCCCACTCAGTCACCTGGGCAAGTCATTTAACTTCCCTGGGTCTTGGTTTCCTCACTATGGGCAGCTATTGGGTATAGCTAGGTGGTGCAATGGGCTGGGAATCAGGGAGGCTCATCTTCCTGAGTTCAAATCTGGCCTCAGACGCTTACTAGCTATGTGACAGGAAAAAGAAGGAATCAAGTTCTGACCTAGGCTGATAGGAGCAGAAATGGAGGTGACAAGATGGGTGAGGAAGATGTTTTATTTCATACTTACGACATGCCTGTGAGATAAGTAGAATGAGCACTGATTCTCATTTTACGGATGAGGAGACAGACCCACCAAGTGAGTGTAGAATCAGGCCTAGAATTCAGCTCTCCTAATTGTCTGGTTTGGTGCTCTTTCTGGTACAGTGGACTATCTTGTCCTTTGTACATATAGACTCTGTGGGTATATCTCCTTTCCCATTGTAATTCTAAAGATGTCCTTCTTTTGTAATTTTCTGTTACCTTTGTCTCTGGGAGGGGATGGGCTACATCTGTTGATGACAGAGTCTTCACAGTGTATTTACTGTTGGATCTCAAAGTATTCTGTATTCACAATAGAAGAGGAATTTGGTGCTTAAACGGAATTTCTTTGATAGCTAAGGAAGGGACAGAAACGCAAGGAAGTGCAAGACAGAATGTTGATTGGAGCAGAGGTTTAAGGCCTTGCAGTTGGTAAACAGAAGGCAAAACTACATTGAACATATTATGACATAAATCACTTGAGAATTAGAGACTAAAACATATGGGAAATAATAGCTCACTTTTTCTAGCATTTTAAACGCTTCATAGGATCATAGATATAGAACTAGAAGAGAACTCAGAGGCATGTACTGACTCAAGTCAGAGGAGATATGGGTTCAAATCCACTTCTGATCTTTATTATATGTGCGTCTTTGGGCAAATCACTTAATCTGGGCCTTAGTTTCTTCAAGTGTGGACTAGATGACCTCTGAGGTCCTTTTCAGCTCTAGACTTATGATCCTATGAAAATTAAGACCAAAGAGGTTAGAAGATTTGCTTAAGAAGCTGCTAGATGGCAAGGTAGAACACTAGCCCTGGAGTCAGGAGGACCTGAGTTCAAATTTGACCTCAGCCACTTACCAGCTGTGTGACCCTGGGCAAGTCACTTAACTCCAATTGCCTCCCCCTGCCCCCTCCTCCCAAAAAAAGAACATATCATTAACAAGCATCAGCAGCAGGATTTGGTCCTCTTACTCCAGAGATAAGTTACTCTTTGTACCGTACAACAGTGATTTCTACTCGACAATCCTGTGAGGTAGGTGATACAAGTGTCCTTGTTTTTAGAAATGAATGACACAAACCTCAGAGGGGCTATGTGATCTGTTCACTGCTGTATAGCTAGAAAGTATCACAGCTGGGACTCAAACACAGCTCTCATTTTCTAGACCACACTGTTCTTGCCACTAAACCTTTTTTTTTTTTAACCATGACCTGTGATTGAATTGATGTGGGGAACTACCAGCAAAGAAATTCCTGCTACCAATGCATGTTGACATTTGCTTTGCAATTTATAGTCTTAGAGAGTCATCCAGGGCATCAGAAGATTAAGTGACTTGTTGAGGATTACGCATTCAGTCTATGTCAGAGACAGGTTTGAACCCAGGTCATCCTGACTCTGAAGTTGTCTTTCTATCCACTACATTATGGTATTTCATAATAAAGAGAGTCTTCTGACATCTATCTGTCTATCTATCTATCTATTCATCTATCTATCTATCTATCTATCCTATCTATCTATCTATCTATCTATCTATCCATCTGTTATTATCTATCCACCACATATTATCTCTGTCTCTGTCTCTGTCTCTGGTTCTGTCTGTCTCTTTAAGAAGTACCTACTATGTGCCAGGACCTGTGTTCCTAGGATGGCACATGGGAAAAACATGTACGATTACTACTGATGATAAGGTTGTACAGCACTCAGCTTAAGAAAGCTTTAATATTAAATAAGACATCCTTTTTTTTTTCTCTTTGGGAGAAGGCTGAAGGAGAAAGAATGTACACACACAATTAGCCATCTGCTTGGCCACCTGGATTTAAAATTTATAGAAAGTAGGATTTTGTTGTTTGGTCATTTCAGTTGTGTCTAGCTCTTTGTAACACCATTTGAGGTTTTCTTGGCAAAGACACTGGAGTGGTTTGCCATTTCCTTCTCTATTTCACAGATGAAAAACTGAGGCAAACAGCATTAAGAAACTTGCCCAGGGTCACACAGTTAGTAAGTGTCTGAAGTCAGGCGATTTGAACTCATGAAGACGAGTTTTTCTGACCCCAAGTGCTCTATCCACTGCACCACCTAGCTGTCCTACAGAAAGTAGATACACACCCTCAGACAAAATCTTAATGCACATGGGCTTCATTTAAAAATAATGACATTGCCTTAGAAACCATGAAGTTCATCAGACTTTTGTGGAATAAGAAGAAAGGAACAGTGTGAAAAAAAAATTATACATGCTTTAACACATTGCCCTCATACTTATTAGCCACTCAATAATGCTTATAGGATTGAATTGAATAGTAGGTACTTAATAATGTACTTAGAATGCAAGTTTATTTATAAGGAATATAATTCAGGAATACTTAGTCTGTCTTTGTTCACTTTCCTCTCAGGGGAAATAATTTTTTACAAGGGGATGGTTCTCTTTGAAGAGTTGACAGCTTTTAACCTGGGAAGAAAGAAATGAAAGTGGCACAAGAAGAAACCTGCATTTTGTACTTTCCCAAAATTATCATCTTATTGAATTCCCTAGCTACATGCAAGTGTCAGATGAAAAAGACATGGGGCAATTAGTTGATTGTAAAATTTCCTGTAGTGTTGCCGTTTTATAAGCATGGGCCTATAAAATCCTGCCTTTCATGTCCTCACTCCAGAATGTTGTGCTCTGAATTCCCACCCATTAAAGGTTAAACTCGCCCGGGAGAATGGGAATGTTGAATGATTCCCTGACTTCAACTGGAGGTCAAGAAGAAGGCTTAGCCTTTGCCTTCTCTGTGCAACATGGAGAAACCCATGCCATTCAACCTGCTCATCCCACTAGCTTTCATTCTCCCCAACAATTCCATATTCATGTTTATTAACACTGATTACAGATTATTTCTTTCCCTTAGCAGTATTAAGTTCCAACCCAAGTAGTTCTTCAGATCCAACTCTGAAATTTGGTGATTCACATTAACAGTATGACAGAACACCAAAGGAAGGGTAATCACAGATTTAAAGTAAAGCAAAAACAGTAAAAGTTCTTTGGTAAATGAGATGAAGTGGAAAATTACACCAGGAGTAATGTGGTGGAGTTTGTCATTAAGCTATCTGTGGGCAGCACTGAGACTCTAGAATTTGGTTTCCAGAGCAGAAACATAAGGGCTTCAGTAATCTGGTGTCACCTTCCAAGGGTAAGTCCTCTCCAGCAAGTTTGACCTAGAGTTCATACAATGTGTGCAAAAGTATTTTGAACACTTAAAGCCATAAATGAAAACACAGGGTGTTATTATTCTCTGTCCCATTATTCTAAAATTGTGCTTCTTT